CAGTGTTCTAAACAGTAATAGCCAGGTCTTCCCGTGAGTTAATTCCAGATATTTCATTCTAAAACCAAAATAACTGAATTCTTATGTATTTCCTAAGATTTTCTGGACAGCTTTTATATATTTCTGTGTACACTAATCTTTGAGGAATACCATTTGCCAATTTTTTTCATAGAGATTTTCCACATACACATTTTCCACATATTGTATAATTTGTCTCAGCTTTGTTCTCTCTAAGTCTTACAGATTGTTCAGATCTTATGAACAGCTTTCTCTGGAAATAGGAAAACGGCAAAATGAGAATACACAGAAAACTATAATACATATAGTTGGGAAGTGCTCCCTTTAAACATGCCTACTGACCTAATGTTTCTGGTATCTCTCTCTTTACTTGGAAAGCTGGAAATAGACAAAGCAGGAAAAACTTGGAAAAAAAACCAACTCCCTCATCTGATTTATCTATTTATTTTTCTGTTTACTATCGTTCCTGTTCTTGTGAGGAACTTTATTGGACTTGTTTTCTTTATTCTCTGTGTTAATCTTTACGAGGATAACATCTGTTTCATCTTATTTTCCTGCAAAATTTGAGGCTATCCATTCTGCTATAGGATTTCCCTAACAAATTTGGGAGTCTAAGATTGCTCATCTCAGGTTTAATAGATACTTAATCTTACCCTTCTCACTGTCCATCCCTCCCACGTTTTGAACAAGTTTTGGGTGTTACTCTCACTGTATTCATATTCAGTGATCTCTGGCCTGTCTCATCTGTGTTCACCAGGGAGGAAACTGGCCTGGACATTATGGAAGATGTCAAGCTGACATTAAGTTCTCCAGTTTTATTTCCAAATCTAAACCTAAAATAATCGGGTAGTCCAGGTTCACAGGGTCTTGCAGATGTAAGGAGGCTTGGTTGAGGATAAGCCCCACATCAGCATAACACAGAGAGCTGCTTGTGGGGGTCCTGCCTTTGGCAAGTCTCTTCTTATTTAAATGAAGACATTCTTGACAATATTGCATTGCTGGGCAGAAATTGCCTCAAAGCCCTACTTGAAGCCAAATGAATCACTGTGAATTTTGTTTTAGAGGACCATCAAGAACAGCTCAACTCAAAAGGGATGCATTTTCCAACTGAAAGTACACTTTGATATGCATTCTCCCTCTGAAATGCAATGTAGCAGCCACAATTGAACATATATAGCCTGGGGTCATTTCTAGAGATGCTGTTAGATCTCCTGCAAGGGAAGGTGAGACTTGTAAGTTGTCTGAATTCAGACTATTTACAAGGAAGTCAGTAAAAGATACTGGATCTCAATAGCACCATTTCCTTTAAGTACCCCTAGAAACTTTTATTCCAGGGGGCTAAAAATTAAGCCCTTATCAAAAATTTTTCTCCTAACAAGTATAGAAAATATTCTACATATAAATGCAAGTTTATCATTACTACTTTTTCAACTCTATGGTAAATTGAAGTATTTTAAGTATATACAGTATTTATATTTTATAGTATTTATGTAATTTTTAACATAGTTTTATATATAATTCATAAAAAGCTTTATTTTCTCACAAACACTGCTGGGATATTTCTAAATCAGGTGGGTTACAGTCTTCAAATCTTCACTGATCAGGTAAAACTACCTGAAAAAAAATATCCAAACCAAAACAAACACACTGTCAGGCAAATACATCCAAATGTTCAGGTAACAAAAAGCTCATATTGCAGAAACACTGGTGACTTCTTGCTTTATCTTCTATATTTATTTCAGTAAAAAGTAAGATTTCTGTAATTAACCCCATATACCTCCAAACATATCTCACAATTCTAAATTCAAGTTCAATATGAATATTTATTTAAACAAAAAAGAATAGTTCCCAGTCTTAAAAGTTATTGGCTAACATACTAAAGGATTCAAAGGCCTGAAGTCAAGACTGCTTTACTTCCATGCGTCAGCAAACACTATGAAACTGGTTGACACAGAGTAATATGCTTTGTGCTCTGTGAATTTGTAATCCCGCCCAGAGCTTCTGAAATACAGTTGCCCACATAGTTTATACATAGTACTAGAATTCAGAGTAAAATTACTATCCCTCCTAGAAAGACTTCTAATTGCAGCAAATAAGCATTTATACAAAGAATCTGTGTATGACTTCATGTGCAAGTTTCTTTTCTAAAATGTTGCACTTCATAAAAATGTATATATATGGATAATATTTGGGGTGAGGACACTAAAATAAGTCACCAAATGAGCTCACTATTTTTATCTGAATGAGGTTCACTCTGAAATATTGTTTCATACAATAAAGCAAAACAGGTAAGTCAAACTGTAATGGTAGTTATGTCAGAAATTCTAATCACAGACAGGAATTTCTAAAGATCAGCCAAAGCTTTTCCTGGTAATAGACCAGTTTTGACTGGTATATATACACTAGTGTACTTAGGCAAGAAAATGTAGTTGTCTGGAACAGGGAATAAATAACTTGTTGGTCTGAGCGAGCAGCTGGGTTTTGTGAAGTACATATATCTTTGCTTTGCTTTGCTGGATTTAGAGCAGGGAGTTGAACCCATGTGAGGACCTTAACCAGACAGTGATAAGCTGTCTTTCTTTTTAGCTTGATGAGTATTTATTCAGCTATACGCAATGGAGCAGATCCAACCACCAAGAGGCGAGTCTTAAACACCAGAATAGTGCCCATCTCAGTCGTCAGTCAGCAACGTGAGCATTCCTGAGTTTGATTCAGGCAGGGTCTGCTTTGAAGGCAGGTCTCCCAAATCCCCCGGGGATACCATAGCCATGATGCAATTGGCTGTGATGTGTGTCTGTCTTTTCAAAGGGTTATTAAGTTCTGATGCAGAATATGTAAAAAAAAAAGTCTCTTCACAGTCTCTCCTTTCGATAGGATAGACTGTCCCAGCTCTCTGCATGTACCACTGAGTTTGCAGAAAAGGTTGAGCAGAACCTGTCACAGTGCCTGTCCATGGAGATAGGTGATCTCAGGTGCACCCGGCTGCATCTGAGCAGGTTGTGCTCCGTGGCTTTTCCACGAACATCGCATATAATGATTGGCTGAAGGAGCTGAAACTATGAAATATTAACAGAAAGTACTCTTCTCAATGCTAGAAATATCTGTTTTAATGAAGTAGACGCACCCAGACGTACCAATCAAATCGACAACCGTTCACGCACGTACAGGATGAAGAGAAAGAAGGGCAGAACTGTCTCCCCGCTCGTCCCGGTGCAGCCAGCATCCCTGCACGCCCTGGGCGCTCCCCCCGCTCGCCGACGCAGGATGGCGCCCTCCGTATGAGCAATTAACCCGGGGGGAGCCTGCTGAAGATGCATTTCCAGAAAAAAGCGTTCCTTTCTGAATGCCCCTATTCCCAAGGAGCATTTTATAGCCCCGGTTTTCAATGCAGCGATACATTCTACGACTCCCCTAACCATTGTTACATTAATTTGCCCGGCGACGGTAAGAGGATCTCTCAAGTAAGTGCTCACCGTGCTGTTTCCGAATGAATGGTGTCAGAGGTTACTAACTATTTAGTAAGTTGTGCTTATTTTGTTAGAGCTGCAGGTAAAATAAATTACCATACATGTGTATAAAATGTATTTGAACTATAGTAGTGCTTCATATTCAAATGTAACTGTGTAGAGTTTATTTGAAGCGATGAATGCCAGCCACGGCTCTGATTTCACCATCTCACAGGGCACAAAGCCAGCCCCTGCTGACCATCCGAGTCCTGCTGGCTGTTTGACTTTGCAGGCGGATCCTGCTCTTTCGATGCTTGGAGAAGTCCCGGAGTAGCTGTGCTCTTGGACCTTTCTCTGTAATTATTTCACAGTCCAGCCAGATATTAGAGATTCACCAGAAGATGCAATTACACCTACTACCTCCGGCTGGAGAGGAAAACCCGCACCCGCACCATTTGGGAAATACAGTTAGCAGAAGCTTGAAACCTTAGAACCTAGGTTTAGGAAGGATTTTTTTTTTTTCCTCTCTCTTTTTTCGGCAATCGGAAATTAACTTGGTGGTTTAGAGGGCGAGTGGGAGTTCCAGCCAACTCCCTCCGTGTGACCCTCTCGCCGGCACCGCTGGCTTCCCGGAGCAGGGGCGATTCGCAGGCCGCCAGCTGCCCGCTCCCATGCGCACTACCCTGCCCTGCCAGACGAGGAGGCGATGCCCCGGCCCCGGCCCCGGCAGCAAGTGAAACTGAAAGCGCTGTGCGGGCAGGGCCGGGACCCCCCGGCCCCGGCGCGATGCTGGTCCGGCTGCTGCCGGCCGCGCGGGCTTCAGACGCCGCCTCCCCTCCGCCAGAAATGGTGTTTAAGAGGTTTCCTTTTATTAATGCCCGTAACGGGGAGCGCGACAAGCAGGGCGATGGCAACAGGGAGATGGCAACGGGGGGCCGCCCCAGCTCGCCGCACAGCGGCAGCGCCCGTGCCCGGCGCCTGCCACCGGCACCCCGTGTCTGCGGCTGCGGCTCCCCCGAGCGGGCCAGGCCGGGCTCCCCTCAGGCGGCTCCGGGCGAGGGTCCCGCCGCCTCCCCCGCTCCCGCTCCCCCGGCTGCGCCCCTGCCCCCCCCGCCGCCACGTGACGGGCGCGCATGCGCGGCGTCCCGGGGCACATCTGCAGGCTGACGTCAGCGGGCCCCGCGCCGTCCCCCGGGCGAGGCTGCCAAGGCTCCCCCGCTGCCGCCGCGCTCGGCTTGGCCCGGCGCCGGCAGCCAGAGGAGGAGGTCTGGGGCTACTTCAACCAAACTTTCCTGAGTCCTTCCTGCTCTGCCTGCCTCCCCTCTGCTCCCCCTCTCTTTCCCCCTTTCTGTCTCCCGGTCCCCCCTCCCCCCCCCAACTCAGATGATATTCACATGGTATTTTGCACAGAGGAGGCTGCTCAAGAGGAGGGCACCCACCCCCACCCCAATATAAGCCTGTTTTTCCCTCCTTCCTCCTCTCCCCCCCTTTTTTTGTTGGAAAGACAAAATGTGCAGGGTGATAGCTTGGGTGAATTGATGGCATCCTTCCTCCTGCCAAGCCAACCCGTTTTCTAAAAACCCCTTTAGGAAGGCTAGAGAATTTTATTCTGTTGGAGAATATAACCCTGATGGTTGCTTGCACAGAGGGGAAAAGCAGAGAGGAATACGGGAATCGTCCTGTGCAATCTCTATTGTTTGAAACTTACTTTATATCAGAAATTGAAGATGAAAACGGTAAGGAAGATTTCACGCTATTCAATGAAACTTTTTGCTTTTCTTGTGTCCCGAATAATGCTGCGTTGGGGAGCGGGGAGAGATTTATATTGCATTAGGCGAGGTGCATTTGGAGTAATTTCAGAGAGAAACCTTGAGATGGGGGAAGGGGGTGCGAAGATTTTTCAACCGATAAGAGGTTTGACTGATGAAGTACCATCTCGAATAGTGCACTTTTAAAAAGATTTTTTTTTTATACTTTGAATACTAAGTCGTTGGTAGAAGCAGAAAACTAAAAACCAAACCAAACCAAAACCAAACAACAGATGAAAACCAAAGCAACCCCCAAACCCCAGCGACAACCCAAGGCTATTCCGGATTGCTGCTGAGTTGAGGAAGCCCCGCTCTCGGCCGTGCCGTGTCCGGCGGTATCCGCTGCCGCGGTCAGACAAGTGCACACTTTGTACCGGGGCTTGGAGGGTCGGCGCGGCCGCCGTCCCGCAGCGATGCTGGCGGGGATGTCGGGCTCTCGCTGGGCTCATCAGGAAGATGGAAGCGTGTGGTTTTGATTTACTTCGAGCCGCTTGGGATTTGCCAGACTCTTAACCCCGCCGACTCGTGTTTGTCGGTGTATGTCTGTCTCCACAGTCGCCCAGGGTTCAAAGGGACTTTGTTTGGTGGGAGGAGGTAAGTGGGCTCTCGCTCCCTGGCGATGTGTGTGCGGATTTTGTCTTCGCTACTTTCTTTCATTGTTGTACAAGAGGGAAGGGAGAGAGAGGGAAAGAGTCAGACTCTTGTTTTTATTTGGGCTGCCGGTGCAACGCGTTTGGGCCAAACGCCAAGTGTCTGGGTCACACGCGTTTTATCCAAATAGATTCAGCGCTGCTGTCTGGAAATGGGCTGCTGAAAGTTAACTTTAGGATCAGCTCCACCACAGCAACCAGACTCTTCCCTTCAGTCTCTCTAGGGAGGACTTTTTTTTTTTTTTCCTTCTGATTTTTTTTTTTTTTTGAGGGATGTGTGTCTGGCGACTTCCAGTTTTCTTCAGTACCAGTGTTTTTAACTCTCTGTGTGTGCAGACCTGATACAGATAATGTTTAACCGTGTGTGCAGCCGTGTATTTTCCTAGCCTGTTGACTTTTGGGGGGGTGGGTGTTGCTTTTTCGGTAGATGCAGTGACAGCCAGCCCCTCGGCACGGCCGGCCGGGAGCCTTGGGGCTGGCTGGGGGGGATTCATACGGTGGCAGCCCCGTCGTACGTCGGGGCCCACACGGCAGTAATTTTACTCCTCAAGCCTCGGCTTCTGGTTAATTCCCGGGGAGGAGGGTTCGGTCTTCTCCCTTTGTACGTGTCCCTCTCGTCGCCACTCCCGGCCCCCTTTCCTTTTCACCGAGCTCTTCCCGGCGCGGTCTGCTCGTCGCAGCTCTCGCCCGGGGAAGCTCCCGGGGGCAGAGCTAATCCCTGGCTTTTGAAGCTCTGCGAAGCTTTTCACGGCCAGCCGCGATACCTGTAATTGAATTTGTGTGATTGATGCCCGTCCCCCGCCCCATCCCCTCCCGCCGCCCTCCCCATTTCCTTAGCAACCACTCGTAGTGGCGGGGGGGGGGCCCGCCGCCCCC